TCCCCCTTTCTCCCCCACCTTCCCCTTCCCCTCCTGGTATCTCTACTATCATTATTGGTCCTGAGGAGTTTATCTGTCTGGATTCCCCACTCTTAAAAGAGTTATAGTACCACAAACCATGTAAGGGCTCACTACGAGTTAGAATTGACTAGATGGCAGTAGGTTTGTTTTTGGTGTATCACTTCAGAGCAGTGGTTCTCAACCTTCCTAAGGCCATGACCCTTTAATACAGTTGCTCATGTGGTGACTCCCAACCATAAAATTTCCGTTGCTACTTCATAGCTGCAATTTTGCTACTGTTAGGAATCGTAATGTAAATATCCGATATGCAGGATGTATTTTCATTGTTACAAGTTGAACATAAACATAATTAAAGCATAGTGATTAATTGCAAAACAACATGTAATTATATATTGTGAAATATTTGTTTTCCAATGGTATTAGGTCTTAGAACCGCTGCTTTAGAACTTATGTGTAAAGACAAAAGCTGTAGGAAGTATGACTTGACTTTTCTGGATTTTCAATAAACCTTGGTGGTACAGCGGTTAAAGTGCTCACCCGCAAACCAAAAGGCCAGAAATTTGAACCCACTAGTAGTTAGCTCTGCAGGAGAAAGATGTGGCAATCTGCTTCCGAAAGATTTACAATTTCAAAAACTATGTCCTATCCCTAGAAAAGGGGTGCAACCAGTCAGAATTGACTCTGGGAAGGGTTTGGCGTCATGGTTTTATGGGTTGAAGCCATAGGGACAGAATGTTTTTAGTAACTATTTAACTAATAAAACTATTTCTGTGACTCAAGTTTTATAATACTTTATTTTTGAAATACTGGCCCCCTGGTGGCATAATGGGTTATACACTGAGCTGCTGACCACCGGCCCATGGCTAGAATCCACCAGCTGCTCCCCAGGAGAAAGAGGAAACTGTCTGCTCTGATAAAAGTTTGAAGTCTTGAAAACCCAAGGTAGTGTAGTATAATGTTTGCGAGGATGGGGCCAGCCCCCTCACCCCCCACTACCCACCGGTACAGTTTGCACAATTGCACGGTTGAGATATGTAAGTATTAAAGTCATTGAGAGCATGAGCGATAGAAGAGTCAAACAGTGGAATCAGACACATTACATGGTAGCATTGCTCACCTCAGCCTCGCTTGGTGCTTGGTGGTCCACGTGGAAAGAGGGGGAAGGGAAGGAGGACAGGAGAGGAAACAAGGGAGAGAGGACAGGAGAGGAGAGGGGGAAGAGGGGAGTGACCAGCCAGAGGCCAGCAAGAGAGATCTCTATTGCTAACCCAGGCCTATATACCTTTTGGGGCGTGCAAGCTCAATAATTACAGGTAAAGTCAGGCATCGCAGGAAGGGGTTGCACTATAGGTTGCACAGTAACGAGGGGGGGTGGTGTCTAGGGACATACACGCAATAGGAAGAGGAGGGATTGGGGTATACAGGTGACATGGGCTGATCCTAGATTTAGGATGGCAGCTTACTTAACTTTGGATGTCACAGAGCCAGTTTGACTTGTTCCTGGCTCAACTCCTAGAGACCATTATCAGTAGGGTGTGAACTCCTACCGCACCCTGTCCATTGTCCTTGAACAGCAGGGAGCAGGCCCACTGCAGTCTGGCACCCTCAGGGAGGATGCCTGAGCATCTGACCTCCCCCCTCAAGGTAGTTCTACTCTGTCCTATGGAGTCCTTATGAATCAGAGTTGACTTTGAGTTTGTTGAGCATCTTCAAAACACAGCTGTTTTTTGTAGGTAGTTCAATTCTTTAACCACATGTCCTTTCCCATAAGTGGAGATGACTTGTCAAACATTGATAATTTTGGTTTAGCTTGCAAGATAGTCTAGAGCAGTGGCTCTCAACCTTCCTAATGCTACAACCCTTTTTAATACAGTTCCTCGTGTTTTGGTGAGGCTCCCCCCCCACCATAAAATTATTTTCGTTGCTACTTCATAACTGCTACTGTTATGAATCGGGCACAGG